CATCTATCTATCTATCAATCATCTATCTATATATCTATCATCTATCTATCTATCAGTCATCTATCTATCTATCAATCATCTATCTATCTATCTATCATCTATCTATCCATCTATCTATCATCTATATATCTATCATCTATCTATCTATCAGTCATCTATCTATCTATCAATCATCTATCTATCTATCTATCTTTCTATCTATCTCTGTCCGTCTGTCCATCCGTCCGTCCATCCAGAAGGAAGTGAAGGAGTAGTAAACATAATGATAACTACAAAAAGAATATGGTTTGCCACTGTGACTTTTTTCCTGTATTGCCTTTTTCATCTCTTTCCAGAAAATATTGTTTTTTGATTTGTTGCCTAACTTGCACATAGTATATTCACTTACTTGTCACTTGCTATTGATGCTTACAGACTGTGTTGACCTCAAATCACCTCAAACATTTTTGCTTTATAGAATGAAATGAGAAAAGTTACATTTTAGTTTTCATTTTCTTTCATATCCCGTATTTAAAATGTGGCATAATTTTTAATTTGACCATTTGTGTCTTCCGTGTGAAATTCAGGACACTGATGGGTCCGTATGGATCAGATCGGACCGTCTACTCCATGGAATTTACGGACTGTGAGAATGGACTGGGTAAGCTTTCATTTTACCCTCAAACTGCTGTCATTTCACACAGCATATGTGCGTTTAATGTGTATTGGCAGTGTGCTCTACAGCAGGGCTGTTGACAAAATATGCTCTCAATGAGTAATTAACATTGCATTTCAGTAATGAAAAACCAGAATGTAATTATGTAATAAGGCAATCGCCATGATGACCTTAATCTTTTGCTTAGTGGATGCTATATTGCAATAGCACCAACGTCTGTTTTCTGATATGAAAAGAAGCTCCTTTTTGGGGGGTGACATGTTCACACTTTGCAGGTATATTGGTGATTCCAAATGACTGTCAGTGTGAGATTTTTAAAGATACTAAAAATATTGATATTGAACATAGTACATCTCAGCTCTTTCGTCAATGCAAGCAGAGGTCATAAAAGTCAAGTGGCACAAGTTTGTTTGATCTCTTTAATGTACTATCACAATGCAGGTATTCAATTCCAGTAAACACTTACTATGCAGTACTTTGTGTTCCACTGGATGACATGCAGGAGGTGTGCTGTTTTGTCACCTTACCAGAGACAGAATTTTTAATCAATGTTAAAAAACCAAATCAGCAAATACTAGTGACCGCTTTTGACAGCGATCTGAGTTGCTATGTCACCTTCTATCAAGTACAATATTTGATATTCCAGATACTGTGTCACCCATCTGTGCATTTTATTTTCCATTTTTATCTGTAATAATGCTGTTATCAAAGAATATTCCTTGGGATATCCTCCTTTGTTAATCTAATTCACACACATAAAGTTTGAGGTGAGCATTCCTACTATCTGGACATCTAAGTGTACCATGTGACCATAGAACATTCCTATCAGACGCTCGGCAAGAGATCAGTCCTCATTACTTAACAAATCACCAGCTTAAACTGTGCAGTCTAATCAACTGATTCAGGATTTGCAAGATATGTTGAATGCTGGGGATAAATGATTCTAACGATGAGTAATATATCTGTAATCTTTTAGTGCTGGTCTGAAAATTTAGCAAACGGCGGATGGAGCCAAAACAGGATGACCACGCCTACCTACCTGAATTAGACACAGTCACTGAAACCCTGAAACGGTGTTTGTGTCCTTTCTGGGGACACAGACTATGGTCACATTCAGCTGTTTGCATATTTTAGAGAGAGAGAGAGAAAGAGAGAGAGAGAGAGAGAGCACAGCTTCAAGAATTCACTAATGATTCAGGGCATGTTTTCAAGGTGAAAGTCCTGCTGCCTACACCAGAGATGTGTTTGTGTGCTTTAAACATCCAGAGGTCATTCAACTTACTTAATAAGCAAAGAGTCTATTAGCAGGGAGTAACATAAGAACTTTAACCTCATCAGTGAAGTATGCTTATGGTAGGATCAGCCTGTAATCTTATTAGTGTACACCAATCAGCCATAACATTAAAACCACTAACATTCAAACAACTGTTGTGAAGTGAATAACATTGGTTATTACAATGGCACCTGTCAGGGGGGTCATTGTACATTAGGCAAATGAACAGTTAGTTCTTAATGAGCTGGAAGCATGAAAAATTAGCAAATATAAGGACCTGATTGACTTTGACAAGGACCAAACTGTGATGATTAGATGACTGGTTCAGACCATCTCTAAAATGGCAGGTCTTGTGGGGTGGTCCCGGTATTCAGTGGTCAATACCTACCAAAAGTGGTCTGAGGAAGGCAAATAGAGTCATGGGTGCCCAAGGCTCATTGGTTACTGTGGGGAGCGAAGGGTAGCCCATCTGGTCCAATCCTACAGGAAAGCTACTGTAGCACAAATTGCTGAACAGGTTAATGCTGGCCATGATAGAAAGGTGTCAGAACACACAATCGCAGCTTGGTGTGTATGGAGCTGCGTAGCCACAGACCAGTCAGAGTGTCCATGCTGACTCCTGTCCATCGCTAAAAGCACCTATGATGGGCACATGAGCATCAGAACTGAACCAGGGAGCAATGGAAGAAGAACTAGGGAATATTGACAAACACTGAGGGCTAACACTAGAAAGAGTAGGAACATAAACACAAGCAGAACAGAATTAAATCAAGCCAAACCATAGAATCAGGGACACAAAGTAGACATAGAACAACAATAACAAACGCTATGGTTAAAATAAAACCAGTATACATTAGACAAAAGTGAGGTTGGCCAACCTCAAACCCACGACTGGAGGGCCAGCCTATAAGCTGCACACTCAACCCTTTGAGCCACACAGAGGACCATGGAGCAGGGAAACACACCTGGGACTGAGGGGCTACAAGATAGCGAGGAGGAAGCAGGATGCCCAGCGACACCTGCTGGCCAAAAGGGGACAAGACACATAGGACAGGGTCAGACGGGCACCAACCCTGACAGCTAACATCTTGGTGCCAGATATCACAGGATACCTTTAAAGGTCTTGTGGAGCCCATGTCTTGAAGGGTCAGAGCTATTTTGGTGGCACGAGGGGGGCCTACACAATATTACGCAGGTGGTTTTTATGATATGGCTGATAGGTATATATCCAGTTATGATAAATAGAGCCTTGACTTCTTTGAAGTTTTGACTACTTAGAATGAATTCTGTGAATTTAAGGACAAATGCAGACTAGATATAGGGATTCTTTAATTACTGAAAATTATTAATGTTAACTAAGTGTTGTGTTTACAATAAAATTTCTGGATCTTCTGAATGTCCATAATGGAAATGTAGCCAAGCTTCCATGGATATTCTCTTGATTATCACAATACAGATATGAAATCGAAAGAATGGATATTCTGAATGTAAACGTATATTAATACCATAATGCACTCCTTGTTTTTATCTTTAGGAATTAAAGTCATTGGAGGTGTAAAGGAATGTGGGGGAGAATTTGGTGTTTATGTGAAGAGGATTTTATGTGGTGGTCTTGCCTCGTGTGATGGTAAGAAATTTGAGTCCATTGTTGGGTAAAATGCAGTCATCTATTGACCTAAAGAAACACTGATATCAAATGAAGTGAGGTGCTATTCAACGGAGAACTAGCTGTTTCACTTGTCACATCCAGTCCACTAAATGTCTGCTTCAGGATTGGTTGTTCCCAAAGGCCACACGCACCCCCAGATGATATTAATATATAATCAGCCTCACCTGCTCATTCTAGTAAAGGTCCCCTTGCTCAGTCTTCATGTTTGATCTTTCCTGTTTGGAGATCTGCTCTCTTGGTGTGATTATAATCTACCTGATCTCTCAGTTCTCTGGTTTTCTATTAGTTCAGTGATTAAGATTTGATTGATTCTGAGTCTGATCTTTAGTGTGTTCTTTGATTTTCTTTGTTTTCTCTTTGCCTTGGTTCCTGTTTGTTGACTGCCTATCCTTGTGTAGTACCATGAGCCCTTCCTTAGTGATAGCCATTGTAACTAGGTATTTAAGTTGTTACCACCCTTGGTGCACCTTTGGGGCTGTCAACACAGAGTACTTGGAGACTTGCCATGCAAAGATGGAAGAACTCACTGGGCAAACATAACCTGTCCACATGGGTGTGTGGAGTTGCCTGATGGTGTACCGTGCTCAGCACCTTCTTGTAAAATAGGAAAATATATCTTGTTGTCATGATATCAAATTATTTTGTCATTTAACTTCTGTGGCCTGTACTACGAAGTGAGGTTACTGGCTTATCGGGGTAACTTGTCGGATTTAAGGTACCACAGTTTAAATGGACTTCATATTCNTTCACTTACATTTTGCCCAGACTACCTTAAATCCGACAAGTTACCCCGATAAGCCAGTAACCTCACTTCGTAGCACGGGCCCCTGATTTCTTATGGGTATCAGAAGATGGTTAAATGTATATAGTAGGGTATTCAGTAAGGTTTATGTGATTAACCACACCTAATATTAAAACTTTGTAATATTTGTACCTTGAATCCCCAAATTAATGTAGAATTAACACAAATGGGAGTATATGGGTCATTGTCACAAACTCATTACCATACCATATTAATTTTCTCTATTTTTTTAAATTAATTTGAAAACAGAACTTAAACTTAATTTGGTAGTTAATGGGTTAGTTTGTGGGTATAGTTAATCAGTTTTGTTATGTCACCTTTTAGTTCTGTAATAAACAAAAATATTTAATGAAATCCAGGCTCGTGTGACTGAGATAAGAAAGAAATGACACAACTGACAAAAATTCAAGCAAAAAATGTATCTTATCATACAATTTGATTGTAAATGTGGGTTATATGCAATAAAGTTTTTAGTTTTTTAAAAAAACATTTTCTATAGTTTTGTGCTACTGATTTTTGGATGCCTATTTGGAGAAATAATATTAAATAATAATGTTAAAAAATAACCAATTCAGAGCAACAAATACATTGGAACCCGCTTATAGTGATCGTTGTTATAGTGATCAACCGCTTATATGGATCAAAAAGCTTGGGACAGAATCATTCCTATACAAATACTGTTTAAATAATTTGCTTACAGTAATGAATTAGTCCGCTTGCTGTGTTCATTTTGGGTCTTTTTATACATAACATATGTTTGCTTGTCTACTTTGCCTTGCGGTAACCCATCTGTTTCTGGCTAAAACTGCTTCCAACTAAAACTTGTGATGTACAAATTATTCATTTCCAACAAAAATACTCCTTGCAAGCAAGTACGTGCTGAACTTCAGTGCTTTCAAAACAGCTCAATGAACAGTAAATATAACAGTAAATAATAAAGAGGATATTGTTTCATAAGAAGGGACGTTAAGCAATTTTTAAAATGATATCTTGGCGATTAATGGTATCAGGAATCAGTACCTAAATCACTTCTCTTGTCAAAATAGGACTCATTAATAAAACACTGACAAACTTGACCTAATTTCCTGTAGGCTTGTGTCTAACAGTCACTCAAGAATAGTTTCCTTTCAAGACGTCAGACACAGAACTAGCAGACATACTGACACTCTGAAATCAGAATTTAAAGCTTTTTTTCCTGCTGAATTTCCAGGGTACCACCATTTATGTAGTGGGGGTTGGCAGGGGTTATAATATGCCAGTCAGTGTGATGCTGAAGGAGGGGTGCCTGTTACGTCAGCGTTATTCCCGGTAAAATTAAAGGCTTAAATGTATATAACAGTAATATTGTCATTTTAGTGAGGCATTGCTAATTATGTTTGATGTAAATATGTTAAATGTAATTGTAATTTTGCTATGCTACAGTTTGAAATTTGTCATGGTTAAGTACATAGCAGTTGTCCTTCTTTCACAGGACAGCTACAGCCTGGTGACCAGATTTTGGAAGTGAATGGGGAAAGTTTAATTGGAGTTACAAGTGAAAGGTAGCCAGCTAACAGCTGAAATTTAGCCTCTCCAAGCTTTTTTTAATGTTAGATGTCTGATTCTGTTACTCCTGTTTCCTCCCATCACCAAAAGCAATATGCTGTCTCTAAATTGTCCATAAAGTATAATTGTGAGGATATGCCGTGTGATGGACTGTCCTCCTGTACAGCAGCCTTGTGCCCTTTGCTGCCTGTCTAAAATAGCTTAAATGACTTAAAATGCCAGTTGACTAATGGCTCATAATGCTGTGCATGGCTTGCTCAGTTCTAAAACTATATTATAATATGTTGGAATATCTTGAGTGAAATTAAGTTTTGCTCATCCACTGATGGTCATTTTCTGATGCAGGGCAGTGGAAATCCTGAGAGCAGCTTCTGCAACCAATCACATGATGCTTATTATAGCCAGGGATGAGGAAGCCAGGTAAACCTTTCCGAATGTGGTCCTAGAGAAGTCCGCTGGGCCTCCGCCGGTCCATGTCCTCAGAAAGGAGCTGCAGTCCCGTATATTTCTCTGTCAAGACTTTTGCATGTTTTCTGTTTGACGTGAATGTCCTACAATTTACAGTGCAGACTGACTGCATGGACACAGTCACAGGATCAGGTATTACGGTAATGCTGTGCAGCAGGCAGTGTCATTAGAATTTTAGGAATTTTAAAAACATTGCACCTCTCTGTTTTATTTATTTGTTATTTTTCCCTGTGCCATATGTTTCACAGTTCAACTGTAATATATGAACCCTTTGTGTGTGTGTGTGTGTGTGTGTGTGTGGATTATGATTATATTACATTGGGGGACCAAATGCTCCCCACAATGTAATAAAAACCTGTTTTTTTTGATCTGTCAACGCAATGAAAAATCTAAAAATGCCAAAAGTCTTGTATTTTGCTTGTTCACTTCTGGTTAAGATTAAAGCTGGGTAGGGGTTAAGGTTGTCATGCTGGGATTAGGGTTTTCCCCACAAAGATGAATAGAGAGTCCCTACAAAGATATACTTACAAATATGTGTGTATATGTGTGTGTGTCCAGCAATGAACTGGCATCCTATCCTGTCCTCACCACATATCCAGTGTTGTCCTACCCCCTACCCTATCCTGACATGTGGATAAGCATGAATGGACGGATGTAACATGCAATTAGCGTGCAGTCTGAAGTATGCACAAACACTTGTGCTGCATGTTTTGGAAATGCTTCATACACAGGATAACTGCAGTGACGTAACTGATTTGTTTATAATAATCCATCTGACTTTCATTGAATATTCAAACTTTTGAGATATTCTGCTGTGTTTAACCAATACATTTAACAGTGAAGTGTAGGAGTGCAATTGACTCAAGTGCATTATTAAGGAAATTTAGAAAAAACCAGGCAGCAGTAATTATTACTCTCCAGGCTCATTACTGCTCTCTCCACTCCCTAATGACCTCCCTAAGTGTTCTTCTTTGCCGATAAATATTTCTAACCCACAGCTTTGCTGTGGTTCAGCTAAAGTATCCCAACCTGCCATGATCTCAAAGCTGAGCAGCAGTACCTTACAACTTTCAGCCCCATGGTCTTTGTTTGGCCTTCAGAGATCCAATTCTGAGATCCAGAAATGCATGAGAGAAAAAGTATTCTCTGTAGCGTCTCCTTGCTTGCATCTGCTGTGCAGATCTTCACCACATATTTGTGAAACAAAACACAGGCCGGCAGAATGTTCCAGACAGCACATTTTCAGTCTGTGATGTCAGAGGTTTAATAATTTAGAGGTGACCTGGCTGACTTTATGCTCTGGGAAGCAGTGCCCAGCCTCAGGGAATTGCTTGTCTGCTCCTGAGGACGACTGAGTGCCGCTGTCCTTAGAGGAAGATCCTGCTGTCCTTTACGTCGCTCTCAAAGGTTTCTCCCTGCATCAGTGGGAAGGTTTCCGGTGACCTATGGCCGAAATAAACAATAAAGGTCGAACAGCATGCATTTTACCTTCCTCACTTCCTGTAAACAGAAGTGTATAAACTGAGCAGCCACTGAGTGGCCCAGACTTTGACAGCGGAGAACCTTGTTACAGAGTCCAAAACAAGCGTCTGCCAATCAGTGAATGAAGGTCACATCTGTCATCACATATGAAACGGCCCAGTGTTAATATTTCAGTTGTAATGTCCTTTGTACAGGGATGCATTCATTTATAAAATGTGTGCAGTATGATGACACAGTAACAAAATGATTCAAATGATTTTGTATGGGGGTGGAGGGCTATGATACTCATATATATTCATATATATGGTTATGAATAAATAAATTGATTCCCTAATAAATAATAAGGACAGCTTATTAAATGCTGCCATTTCCCATTTCTCAATTTATTAGTCTAAATCAATCTTAAAATGATCTGGGTGCAACTGTGTCTCAGGTGATCATGTGACCTTGCTGGTCCAGAGTTATAAACTTATACTTGGTTTCAGTACTAAATTTTGTGAAAACCTTGCCTTGGATTAGATCTGAGTCCTGTGCATGATGGATCGGGCCTGATACTTAGGCTCTCAGCACAAACACAAGTCTGCTTTATTTAGAAATCAACACCGAATTTAAGGTCCGGTGCCGAGGGCTGAAATGTTACCTCTGTCTTGGGGTTTCTTTGTTGTCTCCATGTTGCACTGGCTTCCTCCTGCAGTTAGCAAACACGCAATAAGATGAATTCATGTTCCTAAATTGCCCCTATTGTTTGTACCCTGTGAAGGGCTGATATCCAGAACAAGGTGTCCCCTCCTTTGTGTTCTAGGCTTCCCCAGAAGGATAATGTGTGTGTTCTGTTTCTCTGCGATCCTGTCTTTTTAAGGAAAGAATTTTCTGAGCTTTTGGAGAAGTATGGATCCAGCAACGTGGGCTCATCAAGGAGTTCTCCGGTTCTGCATGGTAACCTGTGTTCTAACTGAAACAGTATATGCATTTGAAAGTTTGAAAGGGTTTTTTTTTTTTTTTTTTTAATGACCAGTTCTTTAATAACAGTATAGCATTGCGATTTTTTCTATACACCGTTCTCATTCATAAACACGGGGTGTTTCTCAATAAAAAGAACGTGAGGATCATACTTGTGGTTTTGGCACGACCGGTCTGGATGGCTCATCTTCCAAGAACAAATTTTGGCCGCAGTGAATCATGGGATTGGTCTCATGCGGCGAGGATGCAACTGATATATCCTTGATATTTTGGGGGCGGAGCAAGACCAACATCCGGGGATTTTTTACCATCCTCTATACTTCTGTTCTTGAGTATTCTAACTGGTCTTTGGTAATGGAAGATGATGTAAAACGGGTACACAAGCATAGAAGTATGGTCAAGTGCACATTTTGAGAAATACCCAAGTATTCAATTGCAGTTTTGCCTATAACCTGTGTCTTTATCTAAAACAGGCAGATATTTAGACAGCACGTCATCTGGGTCCTCGTCTCGATCGCAGAGCCCGCTGTTGGTTAGCCCATCTGGCTTGCAGAACACCTACAACAACACAGGACCCCTGGCACGGTCTATGAGGTATAGGACAAAACAGTCACATGACACTTTCTAGTCCAATGTGTGAACACATCTGTGTGTATGTGCGCATGTCCATAAACAGTCTTTGGTAAAACTTCACAAAAGTCCATAGCCTCTTCCTTAATGAAGGGCTCAACATTTTCGATTTACTTTTTTCTTCTGTGCTTGACAATCACTGCTGTCAGATTCATGTTCCCTCAATTCATGACACTGAGCGTCTCGATACTTGATTTATTTCAAAGCGTTAGGATGTGTTAGGTTATTTAGTTTCACCAAAAATAAAAGGATTACGAGTAAGAATATATTACTTGTTTAGGAATACAATAACGCTAAATACTAATGGCTTAAAATCTAGAAAATATTAAAAGTAATGATGTTGATTGGGAGAATTTTTTGTGTTTGCTGAAATTTTCTCTCAGGGTCTTTTCATAAAGAATGACACTTTTAAAAGGCTTTGTACTGTAGTGGAGTGACACTGCTGTTGCTTCAGCTTACTGTCCAGCTGCCCTGGGTGAGAGGAGAGGCAGCCCTTTAGGGTGGTGTTGACCGTGCTCATTGATCGGCGTGCAGCGTGCTGACCGCGCGTGTCTCTCTCGCCTGCCAGTCACCCGGGGGAGACGGTCATTCAGCTGACCTCAGTGGCTTGCTCTTGTGGCCTGGGAATCACCATCGGGGGGGGCTCCAACAGACTTGACGGGCCAGCAGTTTTCGTCCAGGAGGTTCTGTCTGGAGGTGACTGTTCCAGGGTGAGAGAGATTCTGGCCATTTGGCACATGTGACCTCGTTATGCCTACTCTTAGCATGGCAGAAGTAGCCGGGGGGGATTACAGCATCATCTTGCCGGCCTGGTTCTCCGGAGCTTTTTGTCCACATAATTCACCAAGATGGTTTATCTCCTAGGCTTGTCCCTGTGTGCGCCTCATCTTAAACGCAGGTCGTCTTAGCATACTGTGAAGGAAGTGAATGTGACTAGCATCTCATTACACATACTGGATGGTCACTGGGGAACCGTAAAGGCAGACTGATGTGCATTGATCAGGTCAGGGGATGGACCACTCACATTCCTGTAAGACATATTAGCCAGACAAACTCTGCAATGGGGGGAGGGTGTAGATAATGGGAGTGGCGTGATTTAATCGACAGCGTGTGACAACATGACAAACAGGCCACCTCAGCTGTGCATCTCCGCACCCAGTTCCGACCTGCTAAAACCTCCCTGTTACCACCCTGTTCTGGATACACTCCAGACAACAGATGGGCTTTTCAAGAAATATATATTTAGAAGAACTGTGATTCAAGTAATGCATAGATAATAATGTTAACTATACATTACTTCATTTTTGAACATTTAATAAATCTCTGAAATCCCTGCTATAATTCTGATTGGAAGGTATATTGTCTATTGATTGTGTTAATGTTTAAGATCTTGCGTTAAATTTGCAACTAAGTTACGGCTTGTTATATCAAGCGCATGTATGCTGATTGGGTGCAGTCTGTCCCTGTCTTTGCGGTAGTGGTCTGCAGACACGGTCTACTGGCACATAGCGTCTTTCTCTTTATTTGTGGTTTACTATTTAAGTCTGGGCTTATTCTGCCATTTTTCGACACATTACCCAGCACACCCCTCACCTCTGGCGCTCACCGCTGACCTTCCATAGCAAGGTCTCATTATGTTTAATGGTTTAACCCACAGGCAGTTTTGCTTACAAATGGCACAGTCCAGAGTCACACCAGGCCACACAGAGGAATGATCTCATTACTGGGGTCAACACCGTAATGAATTCAGACGGACACTTTGATCAAAATGCAATTTTTATCACTGTATTTATTTACCATGTTATTTAAAAATGTAGCCTTCATAGTTCTACCATGGACACAGAGGAGTCTTGCCACAGACTGGTTTGTCCATGTAAGGACAGGTTGACAATCCCTGATCTGATGCGTTAAAATTTCTGTTAAAATATCTATTTTCAGTTTGACCAGAGCACACATTTCCAATTAATTCGTGCCATACATAAAAACATCGGCCGACATCATAGTCAGGGAGCTAAGTTTAGGGGTAGAAGGTATCTGTTATGGCTGAATAAATGTGGCAGGTAAACTGAGAAAGTGTAACTGAAGCATCCTCAGCAGGACGGCCGGCTGAGAGCAGGAGACCAGCTGATCGCCATCAACAAAGAGTCTCTGATCGGCGTGACTCATGAAGAGGCCAGGAACACCCTCAGCAGAGTCAGGTGCCGGTCCGCCACCTGCACCCCAGCGGAACGCCGGCATGTTCCAGCAGAGGAATTTCATGGCCGGGCCTTCAAGGAGGCCCTTCTCCCCCAACCGAAGGGCACAATTACAAAACTCATACATTTTATCCATTTCTTGTTATTTTTGAGATGAGATGGCCAGTGACTTAAAGTCAGCTTTCCTCATCATATGTGGAACCAAACCAGACTCAGTCCTCATGTGATCCAACAAAAAGCAAAAAAAATTATATATATACATGTAAATGCTATGCCTAACCCTCCCTGCTTTTCTTCTGGAATGTTCCGCCTGACGTTGATAGGCAGGAGGGTTCAGTGGAGGTCGCCTTCATCCCTGCCAGAGGGCCTCTTGCTAGCAGTCACTGTCTGGCCAGAGACGGTGAGAGGCCCGTGGAGGATGGGTGTGGTCTGGTCCGGGTAAAGACACGAGCCAGGTCCCCGGAGGTAAACATGCCACCTTCCACTGTCCATCTGTACATCTGCTGGGTGTATAACAGCACGCATCTTGTTTCACAGAGGCAGCCGGAAGACCTGGAACCCATGCCTCCTTCTGCTCCTGACATAGAACCCTCCAGCACCTTTGTTCCAGGTAACACAGTGATTATTCATCCAATTACACTACATTTGCTTCTATGGAAATATTTACTGCATCCCGCTGTCAGCATAATTAGTGACTGTCTGTAATTTTTGCAGAGTTAGTGTTTTCACAGTCTGCCTAAACATTCTGTAAAAACACCCAGCCCCCATAACAAGAGGTCAAGTCAATGAATCTTTTGATTTCCTCCCATGAAAAAAAATGCAGATAATGGGCTAATTAGCATCTCTAAGTTGCCCATAGTGTGTGACTGTGTGTGGGTGTTTGTGTGCCCTGGGATGGGCTGGCATCCAATCCAGGGTGTCCCCTGCCTTGTGCCTTTTGTTACTGGGTGGTTGGTCTTACATGAGAAACTGAGTACCTAAGACACTGGTGGGCTCCCCTTTTTGAGCTCTCCTGTGTCCATGATGGAGTGCTTCGAGGGGCTAGTCAAAGCACACATCTCCCCTTCACTGCGCAACACCCTGCACCCACTGCAGTTGGCATCTCTGAACAATGGCAGCTGAGGAAGTCCTGCACGCCATCCTTACACACCTTGACAAACGTGGCACTTGTGTGAGAATGCTGTTCGTAGATTACAGTTCAGAATGTGACACTGTTGTGCCTTCAAAGCTCACCAAAAAGCTCCGTAATCGGATCCTTGACTTCCTGACAGGACACCCACGGGTGGTGAGAGTGGACAATGACATCTCCTCTACCCTAACTGTAAACACTGGGTCACTTCCACTCCTTATTCAAGCATGACTGTGTCGCCAAATATGACTCGAATTTCATTGTTGAGTTTGCCGATGACACAATATTCACGGGCCTTATCACCACAATAGTGATGAGACTGCCAGCATCAGTGTTTGTCAAGCCAGTCCACAGGGACCCCTAGACGGTCCATGTCTTTTGCTCTCTCCCAGTCCCCTGACAGCTGGGAAGGAGCAAAACCATGGAAAGTCGGGTGTCCCTGGGGACTGGTTTGAGAGACGCTGGCCTACAGGGATGAGGTTAACCCCCTAATATCATGGTGCCTGGAGGGCATCCTCTCTCTCAACATTAGCAAGAGTACGGAGGTGATTGTGGACTTCCACTTGAAATGGACCAGTGTGTATGCGCCCTTCCAATGAGGCGGCAGAGGAGAGAGTGAGTGGATTCAGGTTCCGGGGGGGGTCGACATTTCCAGGGACCTGTCCTGGTCACCACATAACTCTGAAAACCAAACACAGTGCCTGTTCTTACCTCACAAAGTTCCACATGTGACCCCACATCCTATACAGCCCTTGACTGGAAAACAGAGTATCAGTGGTTATAACCTGCCTGACATACAGGACATCTGCCTCATGAAGGGCAGGTCTGTGCTGAAGGACCCCAGCTGTGCCAGCCACAAACTGCGTTCACACCTGGAACATCAGAGCATCTCAGACAATCAGGTCCTACCACAGCTTTTACCTGCAAGCAGTGACTCTGCTCAATAGCTGATCAGGCCATTTGAATGGACAATTTGCATATTTTTATTTTATTGTTACATTATCATTTTCATAGCACTATTTTACTTTTTTACTTATATCAGACCCGGGGAGGACAGATTCCCAAAGACCCAGTATGCGGAGAAACAGAGTTTATTGGAATAGCCAGACAGACAGAACTTAAACTGGCAGGCAGGCAGGTCAAGGTCACAAGGTCAACGGGCAGGTCCGAGGGAGACGGGGATCAGGAGGAACTGAAACAGGTAAGGCAGAGGAAAAAGGGAAGGACACAGGACAAGGTAAGAGTGGCCAGTAAGGCTAATCAGGGCGACAATATCTCACACTGTGGGTATCTATGCTCAGCGGCAGAGGTACAGGCACTGATTGGGTTAGATTGGCTGGCTCCGCCTCACAACGGCAGAGGTGTAGGCACTGATTGGGTTAGATTGGCTGGCTCCGCCTCACAACGGCAGAGGTGTAGGCACTGATTGGGTTAGATTGGCTGGTTCCGCCTCACAGCGACAGAGGTGTAGGCACTGATTGGGTTAGATTGGCTGGTTCCGCCTCACAACGGCAGAGGTGTAGGCACTGATTGGGTTAAGTTAGCTGGCTCCGCCTCATGGGACACAATAGCTTTTTTCCTTTATGTATAACAATGACTTACTACAGGGAACTCTGCATCTACAACTATTTTCTATAACAGTTCTACATTTGTTAAATTAACTTTGATTTGATTTGATGAGGAAGTAGCAGATAGTGTGAGTGGTTTGGCAGCTAATCTATAAATCATTGCTACATGCTGACAACCATTATGGTGTTCAGTTGCTGACGTAAGTAATCAGTGTAATGCATATGCAGTCAGGGGTCTTTAAAATGGCATTTTTTATATCAGTTTTTCAGATAAAAATATTATCCATTCTTCCATGCATTTAACTTCCAGCTACCCAACCAGTACAGGGTCATGGGGGGGTGGAGTATGTCCCAGGCAGACTGGGACACTAGTCAGGGCAACTCCCCAGGGCCAGATGCTGTCTTTCCTATGTTGTTTTTTTCCTCCAAATATAAACTGCAATTTTATTTTTTTTACGTAAATTGATTTATATATAATCTGCCTATGGCAAGCACCTCAAGATAATGGATTAGGAATTAAACACAGTAAAGCCAAATTTATCTGTAGCATGAATCAGTGTGGTATCCATTCATAAGTCTGGTAATCCACACACACTTCTCCTGGCGGTTGACAAATGCCTGCCTTTTCCAAGTTCTGTGATACAACTTAGATTGCTACGCCATTTGTCATTCTTCTTAACCACCTCAAAACCCAAAACAGATTCCTGCTGCTTATCATAATCTCATTTTCCCGCCGCTCATGGTGGATTTCATGCTGCAGGCCCTCCTGACTTGTGTCTGCAGCTCATAGGTGGTGAGATTGCTGAGGTCCTTTGTTACCTGTGACTTTTTTTTAAGCTCCAGACCCGATACACATAATCTCCGTACCTCTGAAAAAGTGTTAAGGTTGAAGATCTCGCTTTGCAGCCTTTTGTTTTGGAGTTTAGCAGACTGTCGTTGGACCATCTGTTATATTCACCTGCTGCCTGTGACCTGCCTGTGACCTTCCCCATCATGAAAAATGCAGAAAAGCACATCTGTACAGCTCAGTCATTCACTCCCTTCAGATAGGAAATCCCTGCATCATTTCCTGTGCTACTAGTGTATCAATCATTTAGCTGAGAATGGGATAGGATCTGTAAGGGTTTCTGCCTTGTTTTTATCGAGTCCTGTTTAATGAGAATTTGTACTTTAGAGAGAAAATGTGAACATCTCTTTTTTCTCTATGACATGGATGCTTGTTCTAACACCTAATGAGGCTCTTATTTATGCGGCAGAAGGTCTCTTCCTTAATTCTGTACAATCCATTGATTTAGGTCAGATTTCATCTCTAAGAAGAAAACAGGCCATCTTAATTTCACAAGCTGATTGTCTGTATAATTTAAGTTCCACAGTTGATCAGTTACATGGCTGTTTACTATTCCTTCAGTTGAATAATATTTGGCTGTTTATAGCAACAAAGATGAGTTAAACGCAGTACAAGGTCACACCCTGGGCCATTCGGATGGCACGTGGGTTTATAAACATTTGCTGTTTGCATTCAACTTGTCCAGGATCTGTCACAGCACCGGAAACAGGCATTTCGACTAAGACCAAGATCTCCCTCGACCCGCACATTCGCCTCAGATCAGACAAACTACACTTGGTAGGTTATATAAGAATCTGTACAGTCAGTCCTTGCATTGATCAGTCTTCTGAGCAGTTTGCAGGTTGTCTGTTTACAAAGACACAAAGGATGCTGTAGAACCTACAAGCCTCAGTACTATTTGTTTTATGTATTCATTCGATTGTGAGCTAGTGCTTTAATCTGATCCTCCTAATCCTGGACCTGACCCTAATCTAACTGACCATTGATAGGATTATGTTTCAGTAGAGAGCAATTTAATGTTGGATGTAAATTCAATGCACTCTGTATTTAGAAAAACATTAAAACTTTGGTCATTTGTGTAACAATGTAATCGAAAGAGAAAGAAAGGCAATATTGAAAGATTAGTTTAACAGTCATTTAAAGAAGTTTCTAAATATAGTAATTTATTTTGTTCATCAGTAAATGTGTTTTTAAAGCTTCTATTAAAGGTTTGATATTAACTTTAACATTACATGTAAGAGGGACTTGATTTACTTCCTTTTTAAAAACTATCTGATGCTGGTGTTGCATTGCCCTCTTGTGGAGAGTAAAAGAAAGCAATGAAATATTACAGTAAATCGGTCAGGATAATTATGTCTACAGTGAATATTATGGCGTTATGTGTTACAGGCCCTAAGGTATTTGGGTTTAGAGGTCACAGAAGAAGAGAAGAAGAAATTAAGACAGTGCTTGGTAACAGACCCCCAAGGAACTGTGGCTTATGGGGGTGAGTTTGAGAAAGAGGATTCTCACTGTGAGCTCACAGCTGCAAAGCCAATGTATTTACACAGCCAGGGAGTTCTTCTTTAGCCAGTGGAGTTTATCACGTAGAATTCGGCCTACATGCCTTTTGCTTGCAAATGAAACTATTTCCCTGTCAGTGCTGGGGCCTGTTTTTACCACCGCGGTAAAATTACATCTCGTGTGGGCGGACCCTCTGAAACATTCCTCTGCTGCCCGTAAGGAAACAGACACTCACAGCCGCTTATTTAGTCCCATGGCAGGGAGCTGCTTTCACAGCGCTGGTCATCACAGCATAGGCCAAAATGCAGGGGATACCCTGTATGTGTGGGGGGGGGGGGGGGGTGCCGATCCCAGGGCACACACACACCACAGGCGACTTGGAGACACCATTATCACTAATAAATGTTTGTGGGAGGAAACCAGTGGCAACCTACACAGAACACTGAAGGCATGTGAACAGCTTCTACACAGAACACTGAAGGCATGTCAACAGCTTCTACACAGAACACTGAAAGCATGTCAACAGCTTCTACACAGAACACTGAAGGCATGTCAACAGCTTCTACACAGAACACTGAAAGCATGTCAACAGCTTCTACACCGAGCTGGGCAGACTGCAGGCATGAAGCAACAGCTCTGCCCACAGAAACCTGTCAGATTTATTTTTAGATGGCGCTCATTCGGTAATTATGTGGTAAATGCTGATGAGTTGAAAATTACTAATAAACATTAGTTCATTAGTTAATAATGAAAATTAGTTAATGTAGTGGAACAAAACATTTAAAAATATTACAAGTGGGTATTTAATGACTTAACATTTGGCTTAATGCAATTTTTAGGACTCTTTTACTAATGACTTTGGTTTATTAAATTCAGACCGACACACAATCAAATATGTCATGCAGTCGTTGAACATTGATATAGATCCTGCTGTTTTTGTGATATGAGGGCCTTTTTAACAATATGGTGCATTAACAGAAGTATGTTTTTGAGGCAGAATTTGTGGAAGCCACCCGGAACGTTTTACTGGACAAACTGCAAGCAGCGGGTTTCGCCCAAGGACCATTCATGTTCACCTACCATGAAGCAGCCAGCCTGATGGATACATCCGCCTTCTGCTCTCCGGTAAAACATACCAAGCTGTTTGTTTTTGCGTCAGTACATTATTCTGGATGCCTCTGTGGGGTGACTGATTGACACCTCTAAACCTTACTTGTTGAACATATTTCCCAAAGTCATTCAAGTAGTGATGGTCACTTGCTGTATTATCTGACCCCACTAGATGGTGCACTATGTTTAAAAAGGGGCTCACGGTATGCCCCAAAGCAAACCAAGAGCACCATCTGGTGGGGTAAAAAAATACAACAAATGGTTCATGAAGCGTCATTTAGCCATCACTATACTTTTAAGTACACGCTGAGAACAAATAATCGAAATTGCTTCTAAAGGTTGTACTTTAAGCAAGTATTCCTTATCCAATTGTGGGTATATCTCAAGCCTTCCCAGGAATCCTATTTTGCTAAAATCAAATGCGCATGCAGTAATAATCCCCGTCTTGGCAGTCGGTTGTAGGTGTGTCCTTTAATAAGCGGTTTCCTTTACTTGACGGTTCATGCTATTCAACACAGATACCTGAACCTGCAATCAGCTGTGTCCCTGAGGGATTCAATCCGCTTAAAACTGAGTTGGCATCTCATCAGCAAGTGAAACAGGTAAAGCAACGGGCCACTGCCATCACCTCCATCAATCACGACAATAGATCAATGATATTATTATTATCTTGACACTTTTTTTGATCCCTGTGGGGAAATTGTGCTTTTGCCATCTTGTTCTGCATGATGCACATGTAGGTGAGATCAAGCTTGGCAGTGAAGGGCAGCCACCTGCAGTGGTGCCCACGGAGCTGGGGGTTAAGGGCCTCGCTCAAGGGCCCATGCTGGGGGTTAAGGGCCTCACTCGAGGGCTGACAGACATGTGACTGTTCTGCCGAAGCCGGACTCGATCCAGCGACCTTCCGATCGGCCACAGAGGCCGTTCCATTCAGTTGAACCCCTCCTAGCAGTTTAATGGAGGACACAATGCATAGCAAGAACATTATGGGATGGAGCAGAAATGATATCTAGGGAAGCTTTTATTCGCTCAATGTCTAGCTAAAGAAAGGCCTGTGTTGATGGCCAACATGTTAAATCACCAATCCATTAGGACTACAGTTTTTCAAACAGTTTAAGGTCATTTTAAAAAGGTAATGGTCATTTTAAGACAGATTTTATATGCAAATATCCTACATGTGAGCATCATTATGTTCTAAAGTGAGGAATGACTAAATCCATAAAATCGGGCTCGGGGGACAGTAATCTTACTTAATTTCAAACCTTTGTCTAATATAAAATATTTCACAGGAGTTACTAAAGAACAAAAAGCACCGCAAGAACAGACTTCAAAGGGGTGCTGTCTGGAATTCATGTATTAAGTTTCTATGATAGTTTTACTGAGTCACCGAAGGAGGGCTAATGATTACGTGCTGCCATCTAGTGGTATTCTGGCAACAAGCAAGTTTGAGGGATAGAAGAATTCTGACTTGGTAGAGGTGCAAAAGGTGTTGATTACATGGAATCATTATTTGTGCCGATGTCCAGAGCAGACCCATTGCACTCAATGGAAATGATTCACAGTCACAGGTAGGTTTGACGCCTCCTGCTGGTTTGTGCTGTAGAAAGCCAAAACCTTGCCTGGGGAGAGCAAGGCATTGAAGGGCAAGGCACCGGCAGCGGAGGTGGTGCAGAGGCAGTCCTACAGCGCCGAGCAGGACTACGAGGAGGCCATCCAGCTTCTGGAGGCGGAGATCAAGGACCTGAAACAGCAGCTGGCGGGGAAGCAGCACCGACCGGGAAGGGACGCTCTCAAGGTAGGCGGATACCTCCAGAGGTGCCATCTTTGATGGCCGTTTAGGCGGGAAGCTTCACTGGACATGACATCATAACCCGATAGAGCTGGCAGGATAGTCTTTAGGGAACTGTGACCCGCATGGATAGAGGATCTAGTCCCTGGAAGGGTGTTTGATGTTAAACCTTTAATGGTTACTATTTTTTGCGGAGGGTCAAACCCAAGCTTCACTATCTCAACAGGGGCATTTTGTAATCATGTCTTGTGAAAGCTACAATAATAGACTTCTTAGATTTTACTATATGTTTATGTTTCACTCAAGGAAAGATTTGCGGGCAACAAATTGTTCATTTTCATATACTTGAAAACTTCACCCAATATATTTGTTTAATGATCACATGAGCCAGTAAAAATACCTCTGGTGTTTTGCCAAGGTCTGCTGTAAGGTCCTTCAGATAAATAGTGTGATTGATTGGACAAAATGTAAAGTATTCTAAAATTTTGGAAATTTAGTAGTATTGAATAGTATAAATTTGGAAAAACAACTTGGACACTTAATAAAATGTTGGATTCTTTCAGGAGGATGTTCTTGTACTGAAGAGAAGGCTTTCAATCATGGGAAGCCAGCTAAAGAAATCTGAACTCAGCAGAAAACATCTGGAGGTCTCCAACAGAGAGCTCTTGGGATTTGTACGGGTAAGCATGCCGTGATGTCCGTCGGGATATCTGCATAAGGAAAGGCATAGTCTTGCTATAATGAATCACTGGCCTACATTCTCATGGATTTTCTGTCAACCTGCCATCACCACAATTTCCACTCCAGGTTATGTCCATGTAAGAACGTATTGCTGAGATCATATTCTTCACCGTATGAACATCACAGAAATCATAATTGTCACATCTTGGACAGAAACAAAGAGCAAACTGTCATAACCAATGAATATATTGATCGTTGTGGATTGTGTTCTTCTTCTCTTACTGTTCCAGAACGTGTTCCGAGTGCTCTCCTCGTCCAGCTTATTTGGGACGGAGAACGGCGGGTAATGCACAATTGCGTATTGTATGAAATTCTACTGCTGGTATGCAGTTCGGTCCCTCCCCAGAGCGTGGGCATGGGGGGGGGGGTGCTCCCCCAGGAGTATGCTAAATGGCGTGTGTGTCCCTGTGCTCTCCAGCATCTCCCCATCCATTCTTGAGCCTGTTGGACGGCTGGCTGCTGAGGCCAAAGCACTGGTGGAGCGAGTCTGTTCCCCGGGCACTGACGACGGTGAGAGGTTCCACTGCATAATCAGTTATTCCACTGCGTAGTTAGTTATTCCACTGCGTTGTCAATTATTCCACTGCAGCGTTGTCAGCTCCCTTCCTGACTCATTTAATTCACCTCTTTCACCATCAATATTTTCTGCCCTCCGACACTGTTTTGATGTCAAGAGTGACTAAACTATTAGCTATATTGTCATGTTATTTTTTGAATCACTAGTTGCAGGCCGTAATTGATTGAAACATTAATCACCAATATACTTTTTCATTTAGAAGCAGCAGGCAATGTGGAGGACAGCAGTATGGCCCAGGGAGACTTTGCTGAGTAAGTTTGGCATTGTATTTATTTCTTTCAAAGCCAAGTAACATTGTCGTAGCAATTTAAAATTTTCATTAATTTTCATTTGATATTTGGTCCAAGGATGTGACCTACTTTTTCACCATACTGTGTCGGAGATTTGAAATGTAGGGCAAAATCCAATAGTGTGTCTGTGTGGTTTTGTAATTATTACAATGTGGGGAAAAATGTCCCCACAATGTGATAAAAACCTGTAACTTTTTATCTTGTAGGGACATTTTTTTCAGGCCCCTCAAGAATGTAAGAATGTGAATGTAATCAAAAAACTAAAAATGCCAAAAGTCCTGTATTTTGTTTGGTTACTTATGGTTATGGTTAGGGCTGGGTAGGCGTTAAGGTTGGCATTGTTGGGATTAGGGTTATGCCCATAGAAATGAATGGAGAGTCCCCACAAAGATATGAATACCTGGACTGTGTGTGTGTGTGTTTGCACATGTGTGTTTGCAATGTTTGTTTGTTTGTTTGTTTGTCAATAAATAAATTCACCAGTTGGTAATATTTTGAATTTTTCTGGAGTATTCCGTGCTTAAAATTTAGTGTAAAAAGGAAAAAAATGTCTCTTCACATTTGTGTGTGTTTCTGAGTATGTCTGGAAAGGAGAGTAATTAAACACATTTAACCATCAAAACAGTTCAGCCATCAGGAAAGATAAGATGACTTGCTCACCAGTATTTCTTGTTTTTTTGTGGGTACGGCAATGGTATATTCTAAAGGGTCTATTCTCCCATCAGGCACTTAGGTTAAAAAAGCGCTTAAAAATTGTTCTTTGAATTCTGGGATTCTGTGAAATGCCAGGACCTAAATTGTCATGTTGTTTACAACGAGGAAGGAATGTTATAGGTCTCGGTTAAAAATGTTTGCTCATACTATGCTCCCATTTCAGTATCAAAATGCGGCATGCATTAATTCAACCAAAGAAATAATAGTGCGCTATGACTTTAAAATTAACGCAACACATTAATACCATAAATTTCCAGTCCTGATTTAAAGTTTACCGCTACTGCTTTTGCATGAGCTCTCTGAGCCAATCATTACAATTTCTGTCCTTACTGTTAAAATTACTCAATTGGGCCTGTGAGAAATTTATTTTGAACTCTTTTTTTTCTTTATCAATATCTAAATACAATAAAATCCTCCCAATTCATAACAGACAACAAATAACAGGAAGAATGATGCTACAGAGTGGACCAGTAGGTTATGGTGTAGGTTACGTGGGTACGGCATAGATTCTACACAGAAGTATAAATCACACTTATGTGTGCGTAAACCCCAGACTTAAGTTGATGGAAAAATACATTTAAGTTAAAAAAATGTAAGTACACATTTTTCTGACTTAAATGCATGGGAGAATCGGCCAGTGAAAGAGCCAAGAAGTAAAATTTGAGAGGTAAAATTTTTTGATTTGTGAATATTGTTCTTGTTGATTGTAGCTAATCCTGTGTTTATACTGTAAATAAGATGGTTACTTTTTGTTCTGTTTTTGTTGTGCAAAGGGAACATGTCAATGTAGTCTTGCAATTACATATTTTCGTAAACATGAGGATTAGAGTTTCCTGCATATGGCGCAATTGCCCTGTATTGAAAAAATAAAATGTTGCATTTATCGTGGGGGACCTTGAGAGGTGGGGGAGTGGCTTCCCTTACTTTTTAAAATTGAAAGCGGCAACCCTAGTCATGATTGATGGTTTGATCAGCAGCATGCGTCTCTACTTAGCCACAACGATACAATGAGGAAATACTGTGAGATTCCATCTTCTTTGGAATCCTATGAAGTTCTGTTCTCTTAATTTTCTTCATTTCAAACAATGGAGGACAGCAGCATTGAGAAAATGGAATTCAAAATCAAAATTAGAGTAACAGTGAAGGAAATTGAAACAATACTATCAAGAGATGAAGCAGCAGAAGAGAAGATGAAGAAAAAACTGCTGGAAGAGGCAGTACAGCTGGTGGGAGAAAAGGCTAAATCTGCTCCCACATTACGGGAGCTGGATATGCCAAAGAGCAGGCAGTGTGTGAACACCGAGAGGGTCTGGGTACACTCCGGAGAGGAGACGGGGCACGTGAGCCCACTGCTGCCCTGTCGTAAGAGCATTCACCCACCAGCTGCAGAAATAACAGCTATTCTCAACAGACAGTCTCTGGATGCAAAGAGAGGAAATGAGTCCAGCCAAAGGGCTTGGCTGAGGAGCAAACGGGACTAAAAACACCCCGCGGAGGAGCCGGGGCCGGGGAGGAAGAGTCTGCAGTTGGCCTACCTTAGGAGGGTGTGCCCAGGAACACCAAAAAATACAGCAGCTTCCAAAAGATATTAGCGACAGTCTTGGTATGCAAAGAGGCAAAATGACTTTAGGTAATGGGCTCGGCTGAGATGCGAGTAAGGCTGGCAACACCAGAGCTCATGGGGAAGAAGGTATGTTAGAAAACTGCGTGAGGAACATCTGAACTCAACAGATTCTCCTCTCCGAGCTCTCTAAAGGATCAGGGACACCCACAAGGGTCTCGAGAGCAGCCGGTTCTGTCCCCAGCGCCATAATACTTGCCTAGGGCTCCACATCTGCAAAGCTCAATGCTGCCTGATGGGCTACATCCGTGGCAGCTGGATAACGAGAGAAGTCCCTTAGATTATCAATCGTATTACCACAGAAAATTGTATATCTAGAATTCCATAGGTGGTGTCCTGATAATCTTTCAGAAGATTATTATGTTGATCATAGAGATTATTCAGTGTTCTTTCACTCCAATTATATGATAAAATTACATGATTCTTAACCTAGCATTATATCTTTGATGGTTTTATAAAGAATTAAAAAAAAGGAAACCTAATAATTAACACAGAGGCCCCTAGTAGGATGTCAGGGATTGGGCTGAGTGCAAATTAACAAAATAAGTCATTAATAATAATAATACAATAGTACTTAACAACACAATTCTACCTGTACGAGAGCCTCTATGGGTCACCAGTGTAGCTCTACATGATTCCAGAGTTCAGAAATACATTTAGAGCTAGAGATATGTGGTATAGAACCTTATCTTCTCACTTATTATGGTATGATTTAGGGCTAGATGATATGAATATGTACACTTACTGTCATAGAAAATAAAACAATAAGAAAATGAGAAGCTTTGATAAACTATCAGGATCATTGCTTGCTAGACACAGCCTATCACATCACAGAAACAAACTTTCCAACCAATCATATTGTAGTCTTTCAGGAATGGATAACCGACGTCCAGCAAAGTTGGTTGAGTTAGCGGAGCACTCTACATGCTACCTTTTCAATAATACACACCAGTTATTTAAGAGAGTGCTTCCTCAGAGGAAACTTCAGCCACAACATTTTAGAAAAGAGGTATTGTGGCAAAACAAGTCGAGAAATCGTCAGTGGTGCGGCTGTCATTTGGCTGTTTAAGCTGACCCTACAGCAATCCAGCAGAACATACAGCATGCAAGTGCCTACTGTCACAAATACCAGCAATGTCAAACCCACCCCCTGGAATGAGCAGCAATGCAGTCAGAGAAAAGCAACAAACTGTACTGTCAGCGTTTTTTTGTGTTACGCCCCACAACAAAAAAGTTCATTGTATTCCCTGCGCTTTGGGGAATATAACTAGGGTGACCACCTAATCCATGTCAGGAGGGACACTATGAGCTACTTCAGCTTTTACGAACTACTTTAAAGCTGAAAGGGTTCTGTGCTCTGCTAAAATGTTTGGTTAGTTCCTAGATTGAAAGACTCATCCAGCTGTTTCGCATTAACATTACTGACACATATGCATGATTATAGGAGACTGACCAATCAGCATGCGGCAAGAACCCAGTGCTTAAGTGAAATCCTGCTCCTTTTAATTGAAATGTATGAAATGGTGGTTTACAAATCCTGTTGTAGCTCATAGTGTCCCTCCTGACATGGATTAGGTGGTCACCCTAAATATAACCAGTCCACTGACAGACTGGAACAGGGGAGGACAACAGGAGGACAGACATTAATGACTGGACTGGGGATGATAAGACAAACAGGTCCTTATGTGGAAAGACTAATGAGGGGCTAACGAGAGGCAGATGGGAGTGATTTCCACACACGGGTTAGGAACGAGAGGCAAGACAAGAGCGATAAATGAGTAACAGGTGTGGCTTCTTAGCGCCATGACGGGGAGGACAGGGGCAGGGATATGACTATTTAACTTTGTTCGATTTTTTTTTATGGAGTAGTCACATTTTCTAAATTGGGTTATTCAAAAAATTGCTGCTAGATTAGTTGACTAATCGAAAAAAATTATTGCTAGATTAATCATCATAAGTGCAGCCCTAATTGCCAAGTGTTCCTGCTGAGTCTTCACTCCTGGCTCAGCCTGCGTAGTTAGTCGGATGGCATGCTGACAACAGCAGTGCAAAATCGGTAACACTGTGACCTAAGAATGCAACTGCGTGCAGAAATTAAATGAATTAGCCATGCATCAGCACTACTTATAGATATATTTTAAAGGATGTTAGTCTATCGGATTAGTGTCATACTTTTATCCTACTTAACACTATCAAACTCATTATAACTCGAATTTCTTAAAAGTCGAACCAACCAGTTGGAAAAAAAATTACCTAGAACTCAATCTGAATCTCAGAAGTCAAACCGTGAACGCAAACCTAAGATAATTTGTATGCCCGGGGAAATGAATCACGCGGCACGTCTCTCAGCGGAAACAAAGGGTAACGCTTCGGTCTCATCCTCGCATTCGCTGTGATGGTATCTTGCATGTTTACACTAGCTGAATACATACATTTAGACAATAAAAATACATTTAGACAATGATAGACAGTAACAGTAATTATTATATAATAAAATACATTTTAAAATAAAGATTTCTTATTAATTATTTTAATTTTAATAGTAAACCATTAATACATTTAATTATAATAATATTGTCGTGCCCAGCGGGGACGGAACGGAGACAAAGGCGCAGATGTCAGGGTATTGGGGAATACGGGGTTTAATTACAGGTAAGGCAGGCAAAACGCCGACGGACAATGCAATGACCGGACTGGGGAAACAAACTGAAACGCGGACTAAATACAGAGGACTAATGGTGCGTTCGATTATTTCTCTCCAAGTCGGAACTCGGATGAAAACGTCACTAAACGTCACGAAAAACGTCACTTCCCGTCGGAAACATGCCTCTTTTATGACATTGAAGTCGTACAAGATTTTGTTGTCCAAGTTGCCCCTGTGACGTAATTTCAACATGGCGACTTGATTTGTTTGTAGTTTGTTTGCCATTCGAAAAAAGAATATCGCTATGAATGTACTAAAATATTTTATTAAGCTTTTAATGTGGTTTGACTAGTTTGTGTTTCTTGTTTGTCTCTCGGAAAAATCTCCATTTCTCCATTTGGAAAACTCCAAATCTGCTAAAATATAAAGCAACAACACACAGCAGCGTGTTCATGGAGGCAGCCATGTTTGTTCCGAGATGTGGTGTAGCTCGAACGGGAGATTGTCAGACGTGATGTCACTCAACTAGGAATTTCCGAGTTCCGAGAGAAAAACGAACGCACCATACAGACAACAACCAGAAACAGCTGATCACACAGGGATTCCACACGGGGTTAATGAGGGGGCGTGACACACGGAAGGAGCGGATGATCGGGGCAGGACACATTGTTTGGATACATTTATTTTCTTACTTTAAAAATTACTGTTTTGATAAATGTGCTTAGATCTGTTAAGTACAGTATATGCTCCTCTTGTATTATCCGGTTCATTTTGTGTTTAAATGCTAAAAATGTCGGTGTAATTTTTTGGGGCCAGGAACCAATTAATTAGTTTTCCATTATTTCTTATGGGAAAAATTTGATCAGAACTTGAACTTTTTAGGATTCGATCCGAAGTTCTGAACGGATTAAGTTCGAGTTCTAAGGTACCACTGTACCTCCATTTTTAGGTAGTGAGTGTTTATTACTCATGAATGTTCATTGCATCTGTGCAATATCCACTGCATATGCACAATATGTGTAATGATGTACACAAATTTTTATAATTTTTGATTTTTTTTCTATTGTTATAGTTCTTTGTTTTCGATTTTAATTGGCTGTTTTAACAAGTACATTTCCCTGGTGTGGGATCATGTCCTTATTGTTTCATGAGCATATGTGATGTGGGATCTGTTCACTCTATGCAGAACAAAGTGTGTGTATAGGCCAGTTACCTTGCAAACAGTAAATACTGTGTTCATTATATAGGCCTACTGTTTATGTACTGGTTTATATAGGCCTACTATAGTGCAAAGACTAATGAGGGGCTAACGAGAGGCAGGTGGGAGTGATTTTCCTGCTTAAGCTCAAATTAAGCTCTGCAGGGATTTTAAGAGCTGTAGCAGCTTGGATCGAAAATTGGTTAATGGACAGAAAACAGCGGGTAGTTATTAGAGGTACAATGTCACAGTGGGCCTGCGTTCATAGTGGGGTACCGCAGGGTTCAATTTTAGGACCACTATTGTTCCGAATTTGCATGAATGATATTGACGCCAATACATACAGTAAACTGGTTAAATTTGCAGATGACACAAAGGTGGGTGGTGTAGCAGATACTGAACTAGCAGCACAGAGGCTACAACAAGATCATGATTTAATTAGCGATTGGGCTGATACCTGGCAGATTAAATTTAACATAGATAAATGTAAGGTAATCCATGTGGGGAGCAGAAATATAAAGTATAAATTTTTTATAGGTTCCACTGAAATAAAGGTAGCTGATTATGAGAAAGACCTCAGTGTGTGTGTTGATGCTTCTATGTCCCACTCTTACCAGTGTGGGGAAGCAATTAAAAAGGCCAATAGGACGTTTGCTGCCTTGGAAAGGGGTCAACGTAGGGCTACAGGAATGATTCCAGGTCTTAGAGGAATGTCTTATGAGCTGAGCTGAATCTGTTCAGCCTCGGGCAAAGGAGACTAAGGGGGGACATGATCCAAGTATATAAGATTCTAACAGGTCTGGATGCTGTTCAGCCAAATGGCTACTTCAATATTAGTTTAAATAAACTCATGACCATAGGTAGAAATTAACGGGAGAATATTTTAAACTGGATTTGAGAAAGCACTTCTTTACAAGGCGTGTAGTTAGAGTATGGAATAGTCTTCCTGCTAGTGTAGCGCAAGCTAGAACCTTGGGTTCCTTTAAATCAGAGTTAGATAAGATTTTAACAGTTCTGAGCTATTAGTTGAGTTCTCCCTAAACGAGCTTGATGGGCCAAATGTCCTTCTCTCGTTTGTAAATTTCTTATGTACTTTTCTTTATGTACTGGTTTCCACTGTTTTCTAAGGGATAATATTTCAGTATCTCATCACTGGAAGTTTTTGCTTTTTTATGATGCTTCCCTGCAGAGTGTTTGAAAATACTGTTGACATAAACATAGATTGCTATGTTAGCCCAAGTCTCCTGGAGTTGGCAAGCAACGATATTCTGCCCCATCTAGAAGCTGTCTAATGCTGTCAGACACCTCCTCTAAAGTCTATAGAATAACCCCAGATATCACAACTGAAGCTAGGTTTAATGTAATATATACCATTCCTGCAAAGCCTTATAAATCAAAGAGAGCACTTAGCAGCTCAGATAGGCCTGCTTACTACTGCCATGCACATAGCAAGATGGCTGGTAAGCATGCACTTATTGTACATACTGTTTGATCTCTAGCTGTTGCTTTAAGGACAGTTCAGCCATCTACTGGATGTGAGAAGCTGTCGTGACTTTGTGCAGAATGCCAGTTAAAGGCAGGCTGTCGTGACTTTGTGCAGAATGCCAGTTAAAGGCAGGCTGTCGTGACTTTGTGCAGAATGCCAGTTAAAGGCAGGCTGTCGTGTTTGTGTCCTTGGGTATCTCGAGGCAGTATCTCAAGTCACGAGTGCTCTACCCGCTGTTGTAGCTACACTGATATCATTGTCAGCAAGACGGATGTCTTAACTGGGAGCCATTTTTAACCAGCGTATAAGGAGAGGCTTACATGCTGGTCTTTTCAAAGCTTTCATAACAAAGACTAATTGACAGGAAGAGATTAAGCTCTCAAATCCATAGCCATGGAGAGCGATGCGTAAGATCCCGAGCATGTGTGTGTGTGTGTGTGTGTGTGAATTAGGTTTATATTACATTGTGGGGACCAAATGTTCTCCACAATGTAATAAAAACCTGTTATTTTTACATTGTGGGGACCATTTTTAGGTCTCCTATTTTGTTTAGTGACTTAGGGTTAAGGTTAGGGCTGGGTGAGGGTTAAGGGTGTTGTGATTGCGATTATGGTTTTGCCCATAGAAATGAATGGAGAGTCCCCATTTAGATAGGTACGCCAACATGTGTGTGTGTCGGTGTGCTTGTGTGTGTGTTTGTGTGCGTGTGTGTTTGTGTATTTGTGTGTGTGTGTGTGCGTGTGTCTTTGTGTGTGTGCGTATGTGTGTATGTGTGCTTGTCAGTGTGTGTGCGTGTGTGTGTGCGTGCGTGTGTGTGTGTGTGTGTGTGTGTGTGGGGCTGCTGGGTGGTTCTCTGTCAGCTGACTAATCCATCATGGTAAATCCCCTGATGAACATGTAGCTCTAGATTGATTTTAAAAATTGATATTTATATATAGTCTGGCTGTCTGATATATTAATGGTAAAAAAAACTCATATTTATCATAGTATAACTTATATAGACTGAATTGCCATATTTCAAACATTTTGCAGTTATTGCCTATCAGATGTACTTGCTGTAGATCTATGGTTCATTTTGATTAGTATATTGATGTATTCTTCAGCAAAGTTATTTGCCTCTGTGAGGTTAATTTCTCTGCAGTCGTGTTTTATGTACAAACAGGAAAGTTACATTACAATTCTGCTCTTAGCTCACATGCACAGTTTATAGATTGTGCCCAGTAACTTACTGCTGGACTGGCAGCGTATATCAGTGCGGAGCCCAGTGCAGACCTATGTTCTGCTGGCATCTCCATGCAGGGATTATCTTTGTATTCATTATAGCACTATGAGACTCACGCTCCGTGTCTCTCCTCGTATGTCCTATTTAATCTTTTGTCATAGGCAATGTATTTAGCTGAATTTGTCTTTAAAATGATAAAACATTTTGCAGCAAATATCTACATGGAACATTCCAGAACACTTAAGAGTTACTGCTTGTTCTTGCCTTGTACCAACCTCTCGAGAAAAGGAACTTCAAAGAAAGTTAAATTCGTTGAAAAATACATTTCTGGAAGATCTTGGCAAGGTTGGAGGTTTTATCTGTAATTTCACATGCTTTTTCTGTTAACCAGTTAATGATGTACAATGCTGTGTTTAGGGCTATTTATCTATTTAGGGCTATTTATCTGGGTAGTAACTGTATACTTGCTCAGAAAAAAACACAGTTTCACATTATAACATATGGAAAACAACAGTAACGCTATATAAAATAAAAAATGATTTCTTCTATTTTCCAAAACATTACTGATATCTCGTTAGATGGCTAGATGAACACCGCTTCAGTTCCCAAACCTCTCCTCAGGAGCACCCCAGCCATTCCATGTGTTTATTAAATTTCACCACCAGCTAAGCTAATTAATTTACTTAGTTAAACAACTCAGTGAGGTATTGGCCAGCCAGACAAGGTTGGGTAGTGCTCAAAAAAATACCTTGGTGTATTGGACTGTTAATACTGGTGCGACTATAAGGAGTGGTTTTGAAATGGCTAAGCTGACACACTTTGCCTCAGCTAGTACTGTATTTTAGCTTGATATCTCATTTCTCTCTCTTCCACATCGACAGATTCTCCAGACGTGGTCTTCCTGCTCAGGACTTTTTGAAAAACCCATCAGGAGATGTTCCTGGGAAATTCAAGAATAAAAGAAATGAAAAAATGAACTGAAAACAAGCTGGAGAGAGGAACTTGATGGATTGTAAGAAAAGCCTACAAGGTCCCTTTTGAGGCTCAAACATAAAGCAACAGGAAAACCAAGAGAAATGAGTACAGGGAATGACCTATGAACTTCAGACTTTATCAGTAATGCAACTTAACGTTCAGCAGATCCACCCTGCTGAGATGCTAACGGGCCTGTATCTGATGATGAGTGGCTTGGGGAATCACCTGATCGCTGTAACCCTGCCTCTTGTTCTTGCGTTAATCTCCCAAACCATATTCCCTACCCCCTTTCCAACACATGCCTCAGCCCTAAGATCTCCACAATGAAAACCACTAATAAAGCCAATCTTTGCTGGCAAGACACAGGCACGGCTGAGGTTGCAAACTTTGGACCACAAAGTCTGAGTATTACCACAGGCCCACTGGTCCTGTAGTCCTACCCAGGCTTATTATGGGTAGTTACTTATACGCAGTTTGTCTTGTCCCAGTAGCGTCCATGCGATAGGATGCGGAAGACATAACACTGAGTCTCCACATGGAGGCTGCAAAGATTGTGCACTTGGCAGGATGGGAAGTATGGCATCTGGTCCCCTGGACAGGACTGGAGTGGCAGCAGGCTGATCTGTGGTGTGTCCTGTGGAATGGAGAGATGGCTTTGGGTCTTCTGAGCAGGGATGGTGTGGAAGATGATACTGGTGCAGATTCCTTTACTAAGGGGATACTGAGGAAGAACCACATGCAAGGGCTCTATGTGGGAGGCGACTGGAGATCCTTCTCAGCCTTGGTTGGTTCCTTCATGATTCACAATGGTCAGATGGTCATTGGCATCATTCTCAAAGGCTAGCCAGTTATCTGCTGGTTTGCCTTGGTTCCTCATTCTCCATCTCCATGCAAGGCCATACTCCAGGAAGTAGTTCCTTGGGTTTGTCCAGACATGGTCCAGCAATGTTGCAAACTCTGCCGAAATGTCCTACTGAGATGTTCCCAAGCCTGCCAGGTGCCTAAACTCCAAGGAGCGCCAGAGGCAACCCGATTACGCAAGCTCCTCCTCCTTCCAGTGGAACTCCAAGGAGCGCCAGAGGCAACCCGATTACACAAGCTCCTCCTCCTTCCAGTGGAACTCCAAGGAGCGTCAGAGGCAACCCGATTACACAAGCTCCTCCTCCT